TATTAGGTCGTGCATTAATATGTAATGTCTGTGTTAGACTAAGTGTTTCCGTAATGAGTTTGTCAGATTGTCTGCCTAATATTTGTCTGTCTAACTGTTATGCTTATGTATTGTGTGTTCAGTTCAGGGTGTCCAGGATGTATGTAATGTGTATTCAGTTCATGGTGTCCAAAATGTATTTTTGTGGGAAACTTATGTCTGTACTACTTATGTAGCTAAAAACTGTTACATTTGCAACTTCAGTTATGTTGTTTTCATGCCTGTATGAGTATTTAGTAAATTAGTGACTTCGTATATCATGTATTAAGTTTTATTACAAAGATGTTGACAAAATTTACTTTAGGAGCTCTCGCGGTGGCCTTCATCTTCTTGGCCTACTCCGCGGTGCTCTTCGCGTCTCACCCTTCGTCGTTGCTCGTCGAACTGCACAGTGTGTGGGTGTGTTTCAGACTGTAGAGCATGCATATCACCTTCTAACCCAAAACAAAGACGAAAGAAAAAAAAATTAATGAAAATGGGTATTTTACTAAACTGGTTTTCTAAATTACATTCTCACCTTCTAACCCAAAACAAAGATAAAAGAATAAACATATATATTTTAATGAAAACGGCTTTAGTAAAGCCAAAATAATTTTCTAAATAACACCTTCTAACCCAAAACAAAGACAAAAGAAAAAAAACAAAATTTTACATAAAAACGGCTTTAGTAAAGCCAAAAAAAAAATTTAATTACATTATCACCTTCTAACCCAAAACAAAGACAAAACAATAAACAAAAAAATTTACATGAAAACGGCTTTAGTAAAGACAAAAAAAATTTCTGAATTACACCTTCTAAACCAAAACAAAGACAAAAGAAAAAAAAATTTAACATGAGAACGGCTTTAGTAAAGACAAAAAAAATTTATGAATTACATTATCATTAAAACAATGACAACAGAAAAAAAAAATTTAAAAAAATAAAATAAAATTTAAATGAACAGTGAAAGCGTGGTTTCAATCCATGCTTACTGTAGTGAACAGTGAAAGCATGAATTTTGTAAATGAACATGATTGGCTTAATAATATCTAAATGAACATGATTTTAAAATTATATATATGAAAAATATTATGTAAAATTAATATATGAAAAGAGGCCTTTCCCATAAAAATTTAAATGATATATAAATTGGCTTAATTCCCAAATGCTTAGTAATTAGTTAAAACTATTATGTAAAATTAATATATAAGAAGAGGTTTTTCTCATATTATGTAACACAAATTAATATATGAAAAGAAGAGGTTTTTCCCATATTATGTAAAATTTCTGAATTACACCTTTTAAACCAAAACAAAGACAAAAGAAAAAAAAAAATTAACATGAGAACGGCTTTAGTAAAGCCAAAAAAATTTTATGAATTACATTATCACCAAAACAATGAGAACATAAAAAAAAACAAAATATTAAAATAAATAAATGAACAGTGAAAACGTGGTTTCAATCCACGCTTACTGTAGTGAACAGTGAAAGCGTGGTTACAATCCACGCTTCTTTAGCTGAACAGTGGAAGCGTGATTCACAATCATGTTTTCTTCAACAAAAAAAAAAATATATTTGCACAGTGAAAGCGTGGTTTGGAACCACACTTTCTTCAGAAAATGATTAAACGAGATGCACAGTGAAAGCGTGGTTTGGAATCACGCTTTCTTCAGAAAAAAAAAATTTATGTTAAAAGCATGATTTGCAACCACGCTTTCTTAATTAAAAGCGTGATTTGCAATAGCGCTTTCACTATTCATCACATTTTGGGCTCCAAACAGTGAAAACGCGATTTGTAATAGCGCTTTAGCCTAGTTTGGAAATTCCGTCCAAACTAGGCCTAGTTTGGGAATTAAGATACAAAATAGGCTTAATATGGGAAAAGCCCCCAGAGACTGCTACCTAGCATTCCCTGACACATGCCGCTCAATTGTGTCAAACAATAGTACTGTTATGCAAGAACCTGATTTCAATCACATAATAAACGATAACAAGAAGAAGCAGCGCACAAACAAACACAAGATATACGCGGTTCGACAAGATGCCTACATCTGCGGCGGAGAAACTATCAAATCCACTATACGCAATAAGGATTACAAAAACATCCTGCAACTCTCTCTGTTTTCTCTCTTAACCCAAAAACGTATAAATTGATAGTTTAATGAGCCGAAATTAACATCACAGGCCCATAAATATCAATTTCGGCATCGCAAGGGGCCCGCCCCTCGAGTGAGGGTATGGTGAATACAAGACACCTCACAACAAGTACAATACAAGTGTATTTGGGGATTTCCTCTGTACTTTCTCTCTCAGGCTCTCAGTTGCCACACCCTATTTCACTAAAACTTGCCTCATTCCTCACCCAGTCCTCCTCACAACTACCACAACACCACCAGACATATTCAACCACTCACAACTTCATCAATCTATTTACAATAGTCATGTCAAAATGTCCTTTCCTTGATAAAATTTTCAAGGAAATATATCACAAAGAAATTGCACTTGGACACGGATCTACTCTCATTAAACTAATAAATCTAAATTTAAGAGTACGAGGGTCATGTATTTTATAGGTAATTATGAAGCTTTACAAAGAGAGATCTCTAGAGCAGTAATTTTTTCTTAATTTTGAGCCTCTAAAATCCACTCCTTTTGCACTTCTAAGAAGTATGTGCCAACTTATAGATTACATATGTCCAGTACCAAGTTCATTATGAACTAGTGTTGTTCTGTTCCTATACTGCCTACAAGTCGTTTCAACAAAAATTTCTTTTTCCATGGCTCTCCAGGATTAGCAGTTTATTTTCAAATGCTTTCCTTCCTGAAGAAACATTTCTCCGCAGTTGAGACTGAATCACTCAAATCTCCTCTCATCTAAGATCATTTTTCCAAAGACCTCCATTTGAGTTACACAGTTTCCTTTGTGCAGCTAGCATCTCTCTCTCCTTCCTTACTTCAAACAAAAGGTACAATCAAAATCACCAAAGACAGCACAGGATCCCCAGAGGACAATTTGATGATAATAACAGATGAACTGAACTATTACTAGGGCTGCACCACAACACAATATATGAATAGGAAGGTAAGAGAGAGCAGCCCTTTTTGTATTTAACATAATAAAGCAAGCAGCAAGAGGTAACACTCAATGCACCTTTCTTCATGTCATTTTCCCTCTTCATTTATTTCTTGAGTTTTCTGTCTGCCCATGGTTCCTTTGGGTCCTCAAGCCACAACAATTGATGCATAAGATAATATTTTTGGCTAATTTGTTCAAAAATTGACAATATAATTAATATCTATAAAAGATAAATTTTCATGGTTCTAAATCTTTCACTTAATTATACTTACTCCTGAGAGAAAAGGCTAAATCTTTTGTTACCATCTATCAGTTTCACAAATTGGTCATGTTTTCAAGTCTGCAGAGTTTAGCTTGCTCGAATGCCTTAGGTGTCCAATTTGAATGCATTTTAGAAGAAACTTACAATGGTTTTCCTCATTTGTGAGATGTTGTAAGAATTAAATGATTTAATTAATCTAATCCAGGGCATTGAATACACTTCATCTACAAAATGGGACACACCAGGTCTAGGATCAATGATTTTGCAGGCACATAGAGCATACCATAGCTCAACACCAAGAAGAAGTAAGACCCTATCACTATATCGAAAAAGCAATAAAGTTTAGCCATGAAAGCATCACAAGAAGTCCAATTTGCAGTATTCAAATGCTGAAATTGAATTGTCAAAATACTATGAGCATGGCTGGATCCTAGATGAGATTGTATAAAAACAAACCTATCCACTTTGATAATCTAAGAGTAAGCTCATGATGTAACCTTGGCAATTATGAAACAGAACACTACAGAGGATTAAATTACAACATAAATTTAATTTTTAGAACTAAAATCTAAAAATGTGTTTGGTTGGAGGATTTGATAAGGGAAATGGAAAAGGAAAAGGAAAAGAGATAAAGAGAAAAATAAATAAATAACATAAAAATAAAAATAAAAAAATTAGTAGGATCCGAATTTCAAACTATATTTGGTTGAGTTGGAAAATGAAGAAAGAGAAGAGCCTAACTAAACCAAAAGACAAAAAGTGTGAGATTGCATTTCACTCTTACTTTCTTTCCGCTATAACCAAGCAAAAAGTAGGATTGCATTTTCTTCTCTTTTTATCTCTCATTAAATCATCTAGCCAAACACAGCCTTAAAAGGTACAAAGTACTCTGGTCTTCCATGATATATAATCATATAACTTAGAGTATCTCTAACGGTGTATTTTTTTTTCTCACTAAATTTGAGTAAAAATTCCATTTAATATCAAGTGCTCTGACGGAGTATTTTGAACTTTTATCTAGGTGGACAATCGGGCGGATATCCAGCCGGTCGACTGGACAGTGTAATTTTTTCACAAATTTTTGTAAAGAAGTGGTTATCTGAAGACATCCGGTAGTGAAAATGCAACGGCTATGAACAATAAATTGATGAAAGCGGCCAACCATCCTCAGTTTGGTGAGCAGGAAAAAGAATCAGTGTGTTTGATTTGAGTTTTTTGAATTAAATTTTTTAAAAACTGAGTTTTTTTGTTTTCGTATTTTTTTGTTTTTAGTGAATATTTTTAAAATTTTAAACATTTTTTTTGCTTTTTTAGATGCACCTTACTTAAATGTATTCAAAAAGTAAAAAATTTGTGAAAAAATATTTTTAAAAATTAATAAATATATAAAAATATAAAAAATGTACTAAATTCTCATATTTTTTTATATTTTTAGTATTTAGTAAATTTTTAAAATGTTTTTTTCAAATTATTTTTACTTTTTAGATATATTTATGTCAAGTATGTTTAAAAATTAAAAAAATGACTCAAAATATTTAAAAATTTTAATAAAAATAAAAAAATGTGAAAAATAAGAAAATAAATTTTTTTAAAAGTGATTTTGAAAAATAATAAGCAAGCATAGTGAATGAGTTTTCATCAAATTTACAAAAGAGCTCAGCAATCAATTCAGTCAACATTAGTCACTCTTACAGTACAGTGATACACCACATTTCATAGCATTCTAATCAAGTGGTTATGTTGTTTCAAAAACTAGGGTTTTGAAAACACAATTTCAACAAAGTTCCCTTACCCAATTCCATTCTCCAAGCCCTCAATTGTCACAAGAATCAGGAGCTCCACTCTCCACCTTCACCTTCACAGCACAGCAACCCTTCTTCCTCTCACTACAAACACCATTACCCTTAACAATGTCAATCCTCCTCTCCAAAAACTCAGAATTCTCTTTCCAAACCTCTCCATTAACATAAACCTCCTTCTTCCAAATCGGAACCGAAGCCTTGATCTCATCAATCAGAAATTTACAAGCATCCAAAGCTTCAGCACGATGAACAGCCGAGACGGCGATGAAGACACTGGTGTGGCCGACTGGAACGGGGCCGAGGCGGTGAGCGACGGCGATGGAGTGGAGATTCCAAGAGGAACGAGCCGATGAACAGATGGATTTGGTGCAGCGAATCGCCATTGGCAAGTAAGCTTCGTATCTGAGCTCTAAGACTTGGTTGCCATCGAAGGTGTCGCGGGTTGTTCCGGAGAAAGTAGCTATGGCGCCGCAACTTGGAGATTGGACGTAGTTGATGTATTTTGCTATGTCGATTGAAACGTTCTCTTCTAAGATTTCGATCAGGTTCTTCTCATCCTCTTCGTTCGCCATGTTTGTTTGTTTGTTTGCTTGCAAGTTGCTTGTGAACCAGAACTAGAGAGAGAGAGAAAGATTTTTTTAGCAACCGAAAATTTATGGAATTTGCAATTCACGGGGTCCTATTTCACTACTAATTACGCAAACCACTCGAGGCTTAATTGCAATAAAAAATGCTATGAACCCAATCAATACATAATTTACCCTGCATGTGTTTGCATTAGGGGCGTTGCGGTTGGGTTTTGGATGGTTTGTAAATTGGTTTGGACCTGTGTTTGTATGTATGTAGTTTGGAAAAAATTTAACCTGCAATCGGTTTGCGTCGATAGGGTTCACAGATGTGCAGATGGTTGTGAACGGTTTGCCGATTGAAATTTTTTTTTTAAATTTTATTTTGGAGCTTTTTTTTTTTACTATTTTGTAAATATTTATTTTGAGTCATTTTCTCCCATTTTCTAAAATGCTCCAAAATTAATAATTAATGAATTAAAACTTATAAAATTAAAAACATAACAAAATCAATTCTTAACACAAACAAATTATTCAAAATCCTAAGGTAGCATTTGGTAACGTTTACATTTATATTTACAAAAAATTTATAAACTGATTTTTGTTTATTTTTAGAAAAACATAAATTACAAATGCGTTTGGTTTGAACAAAATATTTTTAAAAATTTAAAAACATAAATTAAAAAATATGTTTGTTCCGGCTTAAAATATTTATATTTATTTTTTATTATTTATGACAATGGAATCATACACGTAATAATTGAAAAAAAAAATTAATTGAAAGAAAAATTTACTTGAAAAAAAAAATATTTGAAAAAAAAAAATTTGTTAGTCAAAATTTTAAATTTCTGTTTAAAAATCAAGTAAACTCATTTTTTGAATTTATGATTTTCCTCAAATTTATAAACTGAGATAACTATTTATAAATCAAAAAAATTATCAAACAAGTTTTTATGACAGTTTTTTTAAATTTTTGTAAATATAAACCGAAAATTAAAAACGAAATAGTTATCAAATAGACCATAAACTTTTAAATCAAATCATAAACTAAAACAAGTACATCTTACAAAATCCTAAATTAGATCATCAATCTCATTCATTATATATTACCTAACAATACAATTAAAGTAAAATTATTCAAAATCTTAAGTTTACCTACTAGTAATTCTTTGTTAACTTTTACTTTCATCTAAAATACAACAATTAAATAACAACGGTCTAGGGTTTTTTTTTAAGGTGTAAGTGCGGGTGGATTCTTATGAGTGCTGGTGCCATATTTCAAACTGCATCTTCCCTCATTATGTCTACAAAACTGTCTATTTGTATGCGGATCAGTTCGGATTGGGCGGTTCGGATAACCTTATGCCCAACCCTAGTTTGCATAATAGAGATTAAATTATTAATATATGAGCTCCAAGTAAAATAAATTTAAACTATTAATTTATTTTCTAGATAAATTAGTTGATAAAGGTGGGTTTGTAGTGTTGTTGAATTGCAATTGGCTGGTCACTAATTTTTGAAAAATAATGACCTTGTTTGCTTGAATGAATTGATTATAAGTTATTTTAATTTAAGAATATTTTTTTGAGCTAGATTTTGAATGTTTGTAACGGGCTTTTTAATACAATTTTTGCTTACAACTTATTTTGTATAAATAATTTAAATAAATTATCAATTTAAAAAAAATTAATTATTTAGCAATTAGAAAACAGGTGCTCTAACTTTTTTTTTTATTATCAATTTTTAACTTATAATAAATAACACCAAATAGAGGCAATATTTAAATTCCCTACATAAGCTCCCAAAATTCAACTGATAATGATGTGATGTGTATAGTGTCAAATTTTAATTTGTTGTATACCTAATCGTATAAAACTTAACTCCCTGAGTTAACTTTTTAAATTTTTGACTTTTTAATTATTTTAACTAAAGACTAAAAAATCTCATTTAGAATGAACTTTTTAATTTTTTTAATTTTTATGATAAAAAATAAAATAATTATGATTTGAATATGATATTTCATTTTATTAGATTACAAAAATTATTTTATCTTTTTATGACCAAAATAACACAACCCAACCCATCATGTCAAACGGAAAAATTTTAGATATAAATTGTTGGCCTGGTTCACTTGCAATGTGGTAAGGTGTTTTAACAAAAACAAGTGAGAAATGGTTGCCTGCAGCGTCAATGATGAATACACGAGACAAAGAGTACGGACAGAAAAACCAACACACCCGGTGAACTTGATATCAAACTCATAAAGTATTTACATGTTTGTTTATATGCCAAGCTCAAGTTGAAGACTGTTTGGCAACCATTGAAAAGAGAGAGAGACAGAGGGGCTGGTTTATTCAGATTGGCAACCACTGTTCTATTATAATCACTTTTTACTTATAGGCTTGCCATCTTGTGGTATTAGCTAATTGACACTTGACAACATACATTGACACATATCATTATGATAGGCACCTCCACATGTTTGCTATGTCTATGCTGCACAATCACAAGAAATGGGTTAACCATAGTCATATTGAGCCTAATTTATTGGCAGCTAGGGTTATGGCCGGCATTTTAGACCTTGAGGTCACAGAAAGTGTATAGGTCTAAATTTTCAAGAAAACATTGACACATAAGAGGAGAGTAGAGCATAGATTTGTCATGTTTCTGGAGGAGCTCTGTCATCTGGTCCGGCAAGCATGATCTGTCATTTTATAAATAATTACATGATTTCCGGGGAGGCTATTTCGGTGACTCAAAGCATAGATGAGTAAATTATAGACAATTATTCCATGTAAATCATATAATAGAAACTTGACTCACATTGCAATCAAATGCAAACCTCCTGGCAAGCATGATGGCTGCATTCCTTTCCCTCTCTGACTCGAATGCCAATATAAAAGAAAGCCCTACTTTTGCTTGCCAAAATGATGCTTGAGCTGCAGCATTCCCACCACCTCTAACTCCACATAACTAAACGATGAGGAAGCAAGTCAGAAGTACTATAAACATGGTTTTTGTCTCCATCAGGGTCCAAGAAAATAAAAATTAACATTTTAACACAAATGCCTAAGCCTATAATAGAGGCCGTGACTAGCTTCGGATAAAACAAAACCTTCGGCGAACACCAATTACTGCGTCTTAACATGTTAATCAATTAGCAAGTATTCAAACATCAGTTAAAAGCCTAGAAGTTGGTAATTACAAATGACGCTAAGGATTGTGTTACATAAAGACACACCTATAGATGGTTAACAGAAGAATTAGGTACATAACTTATGTAATTTGAAATTGTCACGTTGTGTTATTTTCTACGTAAGCGTATTTTTGTACTTAACGTTTTTAATACAAATATGATTAATTGAGGGAGAGAACCCTAAGTTACTCTCTTTTCTTTTGTCCCCTATAGTTCTCTCTCTCAACCTCTCTAGCTATCTTCTATCTTCTATTTTGCTCTTATTTCTTCTCTCTAAATCTAACTCGGCATCATAACTCTGGTTCAAGGAGATCCTGGGTGCAAGTATTGTTGCCCCCCACTGTATCTGTCATTGTACACTTTATTCTGTTTGTCTTCATTCACCATGTTTCTCAGTCTGTTTGTCACTCCACATGCGAGACAGGGTTGCTCTTGAAGGGGAGTGTTAGCTTGATATACATAGTTGGACCCATTTCCTAATAGTTTAAGCTTTTGGGACAATTGGTGACTTAACAAAAATAATATTGAAAAGGAACCAAGGAAAGTTTGCAGTTAGACAGTCCAGCAAATAATGAAACCACAATTGGTGTGAGTATTTTATCGAATAACCATCTCCTAAGAAATTTAGAAAAAGCGATTGTGCATTCAGTATACGATTTACATGCTATATAGGAAATTGAACCTTTCCAGATTCAATACCTAACCAGCTGTATGACCAAACACTAGGTCGCCCAAACAGAAGCCAAACTGTTCTTATGTCATGCTCCTTTGTTTTTTTCTTCATTTTTTAACTAACACGCACGAACACTGAAAATAAAATAAATTAAAATCAAAGTACAAAAAAAGGTTACACTACCTGCATTGAAGTGGAATAGTATTCTTTAGCTACTGTTGTTTTGCCTTTACAGAGTTTGATCCTCATTTTACCCACATGAAGTACATGGATAGATTGTGATGGGTAATCTACCCCATTCATTTGAGCAATGACTACCTGGGAAGCAACATAAAAGACAATCAACAGGGCTAAACAATGATATAAAACATGAAGTCATGCTAACACTAAAAGATGAGATGAAACATTATAATGTGTCAGTAAGGCCCATTACATTCACTTTCTCCAGACTAAGTTGGACTCTGAAACAATTTGAACATTTCGAATTTCGGGAAAAATCAAGCTAAGAAATAAAACCAGATAGAGTTGTGGAAAAAAAGGCACCAGTTTGGGCAAATCCACGTCATAAAATTTGGCATTTTGACATTAATGGGACATTTAAGAGAGACCTCAAAAACACGAACAAAATGTGCAATTTTTCAAATCCACACAACACATAACTAACTGTTTGGAAGAAGAAACAAAACAATTAAAATATGTAGTTTGTCATCAACGAGCAACATAGTAGGAGAGTTAAATACGGGGATAAATTACAATTATTTCCTTATAATTATGCAAGTCAAAGACATCAAATTTTGAACTTCTGGTCAATTCATCAGTGCATATATTGTTAATCTACCCAAGGAACAGGCAAGTTAGCAAGATGCACATATATATATACCCATATTTGTTTGTCTGCCTATAAATTAAGTCAACATGCCACTATCAATAACCAATTTTTTTTTTACAAAAAAAGGATAACATACATTGAATTCCGTGTCATGCCTTCGCACCAATGATTCCACGTAGTTTCCTAATCCTGCAGCTGTTTAGGATGGATAATTGCATCAGTCATTCAAGTCTGGAAACGTAGCATTAATATGCATAGTGAGCTGCAATTTTAATTTTAATTTTTGAAAATGGAAATATACAAAACTGAATCAACATAATTCAAATTCTTGTAAATAGAGTTGGGAATCCAAGAGACCAAACCGGGATCAACTGGACCAGTGGTTGTCAATGCTATTTTCTGGCCATCTACAATAATTTCAGCTTGCAAAATTCGACTGACATCAAAGGGATCTGGAGCGTACACTGATTTGGTGGCTCCTGGCATATTGGAACTCAGTCGGGTTCAGTAATTTACCAATTGTTATCTAATATCCCAAAACATTCAAAAAGAAGGGAAAAAAAAACTGTATTCTCTTCAGAAATAACATGTAATATAGAGTGGGAGTCAGTGATGCCCCAGATGAAGGAACAATAAACATTAAAATTCTTCAAGTGCAAAACAGGTGTTCAATGTCAAATCTACACCCATACTATATAAGCAAAAAAATGATACTATTCTTTGAGCACGGATACCTCTCCGAGAGCGGCGAATTAGTGTCGGACACGGACACGCGGTGGACATGTGTCCGACAAGCAGTAGAAGATGTCCCCTTTTATTTATTTATTTTTTGTTTTTTGCAACCGGACATGTAACAGACACATTCAGGACACCGCGGGATGAAATTCATAATTTATGAAACTTCTGTTGGCTATGAAGCACGGATACTTTAAAAAGGGTGACGTATCCGTATCCTAAAAATTGTTAAAATAATATTTTTTACGAACGTATCCCCGCCGTACCCGTATCTTAATTTTTCAAATTTTGTCGTATCGCCGTATCCATATCGTATCGTATCCGTATCCCGTATCTGTATCCGTGCTTCCTAGTCTGTTGGGGTCAATTTGTAAAAAAAAAAAATAGATCAATTTGTTAACTTAGAATCGAACAATACGAGAGAGAGAGAAAGAGAGAGGGGCTCGTCAGGCACACTGGGTAGCTCTTCACTGGTCAATCGTCGATCGTTGGCGAATCAGTGTCGGACACAAACATGTGGCGGACATGTGTCCGACACGTAGTAGAAGATGTTCCCTTTTATTTTTTTATTTTTTATTTTTTGCAACCAGACATGCAACAGACACATTCGGGACACCGCGGGGTGAAATTCATAATTTATGAAACTTTTGTTGGGGTCCATTTGTAAAAAACAAAAATAGATCAATTTGTCAACTTAGAATTGAACAAAATAGGAGAGAGAGAGAGAGAGGGGCTCGTCAGACACACTGGGTAGCTCTTCACTGGTCAATCGTCGCTCGTCAGTGATCGGTGGTCACTAGCCGCTGCTCTTACTGTTATTTAAGGTAAAACTTCGATCTTCTTCGTCATTCTTCTTCTTCTTCTTCGATCTTCTTCTTCTTCTCCGATCTTCTCTGTCGTCTCTCTCAGTCGCTCGCTCTCTCTCTCTCTTAATCACTCTCTCTCTCTTCTACTCTGATCTTCAACTTTTATTTTCTTTTTTCTTTTTTTCTTTTATATAGTGATTGTAACATCTCTGCCTCTGTCTCTCTCTCTCTCTTCTATTTTTTTTTCCCGATTTTATTTTATTGTTTCTTTTCTCTCTCTGTCTCTATTATTTGATTATATATACATATTTTCTAATTAGTTTTGTTAATTTTAATGATATGTATTATTTTGTATTTTTTATTACCTTTCAATGATTTTTTTATAATTTTATGACATATAATAAATAAATTTAATTATATATATTAAACGTGTCATGAGAGAGAGAAAGAGAGAGAGGCTCGTCAGGCACACTGGGTAGCTCTTCACTGGTCAATCGTCGCTCGTCGGTGATCAGTGGTCGCCTATGAAGCACGGGTACGGGTACAAGTACGAGTACGAGTACTGGTACTGGTACTGGTACGATACGGGTACGTCGATACGGTAAAATTCAAAAAAGTTGGGTACGGGTACGGCTTGGGCTTAGTACGCTTGTAAAAAAATATTTATTTTTAATTTATAATAATGTAAAATTAATTAAATAGTTTAATTTGTTAAGATTCAACCTATAATTAACATTTAATGTCAAAAGTAAAGGTATAAATCAAAATTAAATATCAATATATTTTACAAACCATAGTTTAATTTTAAAAACATGCTAAGTATAAAACTAAAAATAAAAAAGAAGTCTAATTAAAGGAGTTTTATCTCTATAGTAGAAGAAAATATTGTTTCAACTGAGGTACGGTACGACTTGGGTATATAGTAGGTACGTCTGAATACGTCAAAAATTAAGAAGAAAAAACTTGGGTACATGTTTCGTGTACCCGATACGTATGCAGAAGTACCATACGCCGGTAAGTACCCGGTATGGGTACAACATGTTTTTCAAAGTACCTATGCTTCATAGGTGGTCGCTAGCCGCTGCTCTTACTGTTATCCAAGGTAAAACTTCGATCTTCTTCGTCATTCTTCTTCTTCTTCTTCGATATTCTTCTTCTCCGATCTTCTCTGTCGTCTCTCTCAGTCGCTCACTCTCTCTCTCTCACTCTCAATCACTCTCTCTCTCTTCTGCTCTGATCTTCAACTTTTATTTTCTTTTCTCTTTTTTCTTTTTTTCTTTTATATAGTGATTGTAACATCTCTGCCTCTGTCTCTCTCTCTCTCTTCTATTTTTTTTTCCTGATTTTATTTTATTGTTTCTTTTCTCTCTCTCTGCCTCTATTATTTGATTATATATATATATTTTTTTTTTTCTAATTAGTTTTGTTAATTTTAATGATATGTGTTATTTTGTATTTTTTATTACCTTTCAATGATTTTTTTATAATTTTATGACATATAATAAATAAATTTAATTTTATATATTAAACGTGTCGTGTCTCCTATTTTTTGAAAATTTGTGTGTCCATCTCGTGTCGCGTGTCCGTGTTCGTGTCCGTGCTTCATAGATACTATTAAATAACGCTAAAAAAAATAAAATAAAGGAAACTCATGTTGGATAACAGCGTTGAACAAAATAAAAATGGATAAGAAAAAAAAAATAGCTATGCACAAATAAAGAATTCAGGATAATTTTAAATAATTCTGATAATGATAATAATTAAAAATAATGATGATAGGCATACTGATAACCTTAGCCTAATAACCTTGAAGTTATGGGTTCAAGTCTTGAGACCATCCCTTTGTGCATTATGTCAAAGGTTAGGTGTATACTCAATCTTTCCCGTCCCAAACACACATTAATGTGTACTAATTGGCCTCTTTTTTTTTTCTTTTTTTTTTTTTGATGATAGTGATAATGATAAAAATATTTTAAAAAAAAAAAAAAAAATCTACCACCATAATTTAAATACATAAGAAGAAAAACTTAATTATTAACAACCAACTTAAATACTTCCACACAAAAAAATAAAAATAAAAATAAAAATCGACTGCTAGAAGTTGATTTCAGTCCTCGTACCCATAAAAAATTGATAGTGGAGGTTTAAGCAGTATCAAACTTAGAGTAAGCAAATATCTCTGTTCAAAGAGAACAAAGTAATCAAATCCTACGTCACATGAACTCGGGTGGGTGTCGGGTGCAGATATGTTATGTATAGTGTCGGATTAGGGGCCCCTAAATTTTAACAAAATTGAAGGGCCCCAAAATAATTTTAGCTCTTATAGCTTTAGTAGGTTCAAAAATAAAAATTCAGTCCAACTAATCCAAGTTCACAAACTCAAGTTGTGTTACATGGACTCTTCTATTTCCCCCACAGTACCCGTGTCCACTGAATATGACATGGGTAAGGGTGTGGGATATGTGTCCAACACTCATACTCAATTTAGACACTCAGATCCTTTAATTTGTTACAATATATGAGAAGAAAAAACTCACATTTGCTAGTAAAATAATATTTTTAGTCTCTCAGATGATTTAAATATAAAAATTTAATATTTTTTCTAAATCCTATTCAATTTCAAGTATTTTTCTATATAATTTACAACATTTCATCCGAAAAATATTATATAATATGCAATATATGTGCGTATATGACGCGTCCCCGTACCCATATCCAATTTTGGATATGTATTCCAAGATCTTAAGATTTAAATTTATGAAGGTCTGACGCTTGAATCCGCATCCACATCCGCACCCGCACTCGATATTCGTACCTGAATCCATGTAACATAGAACTAAAGTAAAGGACCCTTATAGATTATGTAATCTTAATTAGTTGTTTTGCATCCAAAAATGCAGAAGTGTTGATACTTTTTTGTAGTAGATTCAATTTTTATTTGTTATAATTACTTTAGATTTCATTTCATATTTTTTCTTCTCTTTTTTTAGATTACACAATGCTTTTTTATTGTTGTAAATTGAATTTTGTAAGAGTATAAAACAAGACTACTCTTTTTGTCTTTTTGAGTTTTTTAATGATTTCTTCATGTCTTGATCTATGTAATTAAATTTAGTTTATGATTTTAGTAATTATATATATAAGCAAAATTTGTGTAGGTATTAGCAATTAAAAAAATTACAAGTACTTATCATTTTATCTTTTATCAATTTTTTTGTTTTTGGTACTTACGTGTAAGTCCTAATAAATGGACTTATTGTCTAATAAGTCCTATGAAAAAAAATTGTCATAAAAAAAAGTCACTAATTGTAAGTTTTAGTGACAATTTATAAAAATCATGACAAAAAAAAGTCACTAATTATCAATTTATAGCGACGTATATAAAAAATTGTCACAAAAAAAATATTTTTAGCGACAATTTTACCAAGACTTATTTTCAATAGAACTTGATGGGAATTAAGTCTAACTATTAGAATTTAGAAACTTTTTTTTAAGGATTTAGAAACTCAAATATAAGGGTTATATAAAAATGGATCTATTGCCAGTTCATTTAGTGGTCCAGATTTCAAAATAATGGATCTATTGCCATGTGCAAATGGCTTAATTAAAAGGTCTGTCAAGAAGCTAAAGAAGTCATTAGAACCTACAATAATTTGAGTAAAATGCAGAAACAATGTCAATAACATCAAAACTGAAAGTCAAAAAGTGATGAAGCAAGCTTTATATATGTAAATCTAAATATGGTCAAGCACTGCTCCAGTTTGCAAAAATATTATCTAGTTCAAAAAATTTCACACAATAAAATCTTTACCATTACTATACAGATAAATAAGTAAGACAAATGAAGCAAAAACCTACATATGTTAATTTGCATGCGAAATAACCACAAGTATTTGTAACCTAAATTCCATGGTTCTCTCTCTTCATCTAAGATAGGGAATACTAATATAATTAAACAAACACAATTATCACTGTGCACAATATTCTCCAAAAGATCAGTTAAGTTGACAAAACAAAATAGATCCATCTAGTATAATTAAGTGCTTCCCACAATATGTTGACAAGAAAGTGCAGCCACCTTCTGCATACATACCTGAAATAAGATCCTTTTTGCCACCTTCAGCTGCCAAACGATACCATTGAATTGAACATCCCGAAAGTTCTGGAGCACTATCAGAGCAAGGTTGAATCCTTAAATATGAACCCAAAGCTTCAGAACCATCTAATTCATATGAGTGAGCCAAGTTTTCCTCACCCCTCCTGCTCTTTGCCAGCTGAAAACGTCATGGAAATTAGAGTGCAATATTTTAATCACAAAACATCCATATCTCCACATCTCTGCATCATCGAATATGGTCTAAAAATGCAGAAAATATGAAGTACAAGCATAACAGAAGTTTTTACTGGTTGGATTTGGCTTACACTTCCTATCACTATAACAATAAAAGATTCAGAGAGAGAGAGAGAGAGGAGCAGATGACTATCCATACCACGATTTAAAAATAAATAAAACAAAACAAAACAAAACAAAGGTGAAATATAAAATTAAGATTAAAATGTGAATATATATATATACATCAAACATGGACCGTTCCAATACTCAAAAGATCAAGTGGATCCATGTGAAATTTTAGCTTTACCGATCCATGTATAACCTAAACTCCTTGGTCGATGAGGTTGTTCTAGTTTACTAAACAAAAAAGAACACAAGAGATCCAGAGGATGCAATGGCTAGGTTGGTCTCAATAAAGCGGAAGTCTGTTTAATGAGGAAAAAAGAGATACTCTGTACATGGTAAACAGGTTCCAGAGAAGTGAACCAGTACTCCACAGCCTGCATTGATTAAAAGAGTAGATAGGCAAGGTTCAAGGTGAATCTTCGCATTTTGGTTTGAAGCATAGGATCCCAGAATTTAAGCTATGCAGGTCTAGGACGTTGTCATTAGAATTTTGTCCTTCAAATAATATAAATAATTCTGAACATGAGGAAATATTTGTTTAATTTCTTCAAGGTGTGGTGGCAATTTCCAACCCTATGTAACAAATCCAATTCTAGACAGATATTGTATTGCACTATATTAGTTATATTAGCATAAGTTTAACCTGAATCCATTTCTAAGTAAATCCTACCAATCATTCAGTTTATAATATGAGCCTACCAACTTGAGGGGTTTATAGAAAAACTCCACTAATACAATTCAACATGCTGTTTAAGAAGCTAAAGTGAGGTTCTTAAACCTCATGGGCCCCCGATGCTAGAATTGAAACAACTCATTCCCATTCCCACCCCCACCCCAGATTCAAGGACCTCAACACTCAAAAATTGTCAGAAGTGCAATTCTTTGCCCTGTAAACATATGTACTTAGCTTGCTTCAAGATCTTAGACTATATTTTCAGCACAAATTACTTGGGGAACCTTTAAACAAGCTAACCAACCTATGAAACCAAGGCAAAAGAGCAGGACAATAACTACATCAAGAGAAAAAGAAATAGATCTACATAAAATTTTAAGAGTTGATGCAGCAACTTAATATTGGGAAAACAGTTCATGCAGCTAAACACTAATCTCAACTTCTGATACTTGGGGGCCATTGAAAAAAGAATAACATAAAGAACCACCCACACATCAAGCATACATGAACAGACATTGATTGATCATACAAAGAAATCAACAAAAGTTAACAAGAGAGAGAGAGACGAAGAAACGAACAAACCTCTTTCTGAAGCAGAAGAGAATGTTTAGATTTCTCAGCAAGCTGAAGTCTCAATGCTTGAAGCTCATGCTCCATGTCCATAACCTACAAATTTTTATGTTTAATTCACTTATGCAATAGAAGTAACTATATCCAAAAACAAAACTAAATGTTTGAATTGTAAAGAACATACATTACTATGAACCCAAACAAGCTAAATTATCTACTAATAAAAACAAAAACAAAAAATTAAATTAAATTATATTTACATTGCAGCGCAATGAGAACAATGCTGAGAGCAAATACAATGTAAAAGGAGCCTAGTTTAATTCATTAGAACTAATACAGCATACGTGCATAACAAGAACGTTTACCTAATTAGGCACTAACAGGAAAGTGGCATGGTTGCTTGTATTTAGTCAAGTTTTAGTGATACAGAGTATAAAAAGCTCAAGGAAGGCTAAATTCAAAGAAGTAAAGATATTTGGACATTGGCATGATTTCAAAGAGAAGCCAATAGGAACCTTATATAATTATGTTTCTAATGTTATTAGTATTATTTTACAATTATTTTTATGTTTTCTAGGATTTTTAGATCAGGGATATTTTGGTAATTTTCATATTTGCTAACAAGGCTATAGGGGTCGCCCATGGGTTGTCTTGAGGGTCAAGTTATTTAATTGATTTTTATTTATGCTGTGCGCATCATATAGTAACCTAGGCTAATAAACCGGAATAAGAACTCGCAATGTTTTCAAAAATTGATATCATGGTTAGTAGAGGCCGGTCTATGACCGGGCGAGCGGGGGTGCTCACGAAGTGACCTTCCCCAATCGTACCCAAGTTCCCGAGCCGAGGCAACTTTGGTGATGACGGACACGTGGCCTTTTGGCACCGAGTCAGGGTTTCCTAAATTTCCCAAAATAAAATATTTAGGTGGCGACTCTGTATCTGGCAAAGCAGTCCATGTTTGGTACTACTTTTTTTCAAAAATCAATTTTCTCAGAACGATTTGCCAGATTTGGACTCTTTGGTTCAGATTAGGAACCGTGACCACATTGAGAGTCCGAGCTGTAGCGAGGTCCCCCGCGGGCTTGTTACACTTAGTCAAGTGTTGTCCATCCTAGCCGAGGTCATTGTCACCTTAGTTGCCGAAGTCCTTTGTTAGCCGATGTCACCCCTTGCCGGAGTGCCATTCCGTATAGCGTGTTAGATACGCCTTGTTGTTAGCCGATGACCTAGCCTGTCAGAGAGCCCATACCGCTTTGCTTGTTGAACACCTTTCCACCATGCTTTGTCTGGCCTGTCAACCACCTTTTCAGGTAAAACCCAACCAGTCGCCGCCACGTGTCTCAGCAGAGGGTTAACCCCAGAACCGGGCATAGAAAACTATCATTTGGTGTCATAACCTTGTCTTGTAGAGAGAGAAGCTCTAGGAAGGAGAAAGAGTTTTAGAGTGAGGAAGTGGATCCTCAAGCTTGATTCCTAGAGATCCGACCGTTAGATCCGCGTTCTAAGGTTAGATTCTTGATCTGCTCATGATGTTCTTTATGTTTATGTTATTGCATTGCATGATTGAAAATGATTTGTAAGCCATGCATCGTTTTGAAGCTCGATTTTGGAAAGAGAAAATGACATTCATGTGTTCTTCAAGAAAAGTCTTGTTTTGATCCGAAAGCTTGCATAAAGAATCATGTTTTTGTGTTTGTTTCCGCAAGAATTCCAAGTACGGGTACCCAGGTCCATGTTTTCAAACTCATAGCACGAAAACCCCAGATTTTGATGACAGATTATGATTGAACATCCATATTTTTCATATTTTCACACTCATGTTCTTCACGTTCATCAGCAGAGGGATACCCAGAGTTTCCCGACCTCTTTTCCTTGCATGAGGCCTTGGGAACACAACCTCGGCGAGGAGGTGTGGAACCTCGACCTAGACCTGGTCGGTGCCCAGCATGTTTTCCGAAACCATTTGTGTACATAAGGGACTTGTTTGAAAGTGCATTCAATAGGCTTTGCCCTGTGTTTGTAGGACTTGGGCTTGTCTCGACCCCGACGTGTGAAGAAACTATGTGAGTGGTATTTTTAATAAAGCTATGTTACACTTGCTTTCATAAAATCTCGTCTTGCCTTGTTTTGAAAAGTACTTGATCTAGCATGAATGACTATCCCTATTTTGTATATCAAATGCTATCTTGTTTTGATGACTCGTCTTGAAAGTCCTTAGTTGCAGGGGACTATAATGCAACTACACTCTTGTCTTGACCATTTTTGCATGATTTATTAGCCTATTGAGCTTCTGTTTTTGGACCTTGGTCCAAACTGAAAGTGGAAATATTTTGACCCCCTTGTCATGTTTCATTAAGGGTCTTTGTCTGTTTGATGAATGTTTTGTATACTTTGTGTTTTGACCTCTTTTGGGCCCTACCTTGCATGGCATTTTGAGCATACTTGTATATTGTTTTGGGAGTTTCCATAAACTGTAATTAGTCATATTTTTGGTCCCTCTTCAGTGTTTTAGAAGAGTCTTTTTCTGTTTGGGATTTGTATCTACCACTTGCTTCATTGCCTCCCTTGCGGAGCCATTTTTGTATGATAATTTAGTCCCACTTGTGCTTACTGTTTGGCCATGCTTTGAACTGTAAAAATGCTTATTTTTGGGCTTCCTTGCTGCTGTATTTTCATTCCATGAACCAATTATGCATGCTTTGTATAGCTGTAAGCCATTTCATGTACCTAGTTTTGCATTTCGGGAGAAATTCCATGCATCGGGTGTCATTTCGCCTTGTTTCGGGGTTGTTTTGCCCCTCATTTTGTTACTGATTTTTGCATGTTTTCATATCACATTCCATGTCTTTTCCATGTCTCATTAGAGTGGCATTTCGGTGCCTGAGGGTCGGTTCTCGATTTACGTGCACGCGTGCACGCATTTCGAGTTGTCTTGTTTTCATCTGATGGCCTCCTATGTGAGTGTGGCTGAGGCTCTCTCATGTTGGTGTAAGCCCATTATTGCATTGCGTATGCCATTTCATCCATAGCATTGTGTATGCCCGGTTGTGTATTACCTCGTGCGGCTTGTATGCCATTCCATAACATTGTGTATGTTAGGATTGTATCTTAGTTGCATTTCATGCATGTCATGCATATTGCATCGTGTTTGGGATAGGAGTTAGCCCAGGCACGGGAAACAAGGTACATTTCGTACTCCGAGTGACGGAATGTATCTCAAATTTCAAGTCACCGAGACTCCGGATTATCCGTGATGGAGTTAGGTTTCTGTTGTGTTTTCATGTGCATTCATCCTATATTAAATTGTGCAATTCGACTCCTCGGCCATCATGCATATGGACTATTTAGATTCATTTTATATATATATGTTGCTTCCGCACTTGTAAGCCCCATATTTTATACTCTGATTGTGTGTGATTTTGTAAGTCGGCCTTCGGTAATCTCGGATTACTGGCCATCACGGCACCAAACTACTAGGGGCGGTTTGGGGGCGTGACAGAATGGTATCAGAGCACGAGATCCTTATAGTACGTTAATCACCCACCTTGAGTCCTAAAGAGCATAGGATTTTCCTTAGAATGATGTTAGGATTGCATCATATTGCTTGCTACTTGACTACGTGTGCATCATTTCGGCATAGACATTTGTTACTTGTATACGTATTATCTGTTCAGTTATTTTTAAAGTCTCATCTTGCATCCTCCTAGCATCATGAGGAGAGGTAGACCTCCAGTTGGCCGAGATCGTTCAGAAGATAGATTGGAGAGATTGGAAAGGTTAGTCGAAGGCTTGGTTCGTGAGCAGAGACAACCTAGGCCACAGGATACTGGTACGACTTCCACGCAGGCTGAGCAAACGAATGGCCGTTATACAGCTCCACCCCCTCCAGTGCCACAAGTGCCTCTACAACAGGCTTTGTACGGGTACGACACGATAACCCTAATCAGAGAGTTCAAGAAAATGAAACCGCCGAGATTTCAAGGAGGTATAGAACCAATGAAAGCCGAGGCATGGGTTTTAGAGATGGAGAAGTTGTTTGAGATCTTTCCCAGTACAGACGCCCAGAAGGTATCTCTGGCAGCATTCACATTAGACGACGATGCTCGTAGGTGGTGGATGATGGTCCGAGAAAGCAATCCGGGTTTGACTTGGGCAAAATTTTTGGAGTTGTTCTACAACAAGCATTTCCCCCTCAGCGTTCGAGACCGAAAAACCACGGAGTTTCGGAATCTGATGCAAGGGAACAAGACAGTCGCAGAATACGATCGTGCCTTTACTGAACTGGCGAGATATGCGCCTCATATGGTTGATGATGAATACCGAAAGGCGAGAAAGTTCGAAAGTGGGCTACGTGGACCGATACAAGATAGGGTCAATATGCTCAATATGCCGACATACGCTGGAGTACTGGACAAGGCCATCCTGGCTGAAGCTAATTTAAACCGATATCAGAGTTCAAGTGAGGGTCAGAGGAAGAGACAGAATTATGATAATCGCTGAGTTCCGTTCAATGCCAAGAAGAGAATGAGCACAGACAGTTCCAGCAACTCAAATCAGGAGGGTAACGCCAAACTGGTGTGCGCGAGTTGTGGAAAGCTACATTTCGGGGTTTGTCGTTGGGCAACAGGAGCTTGCTATGAGTGCGGCGAGATAGGTCATCGTGTGAAGGACTGCCCGAAGGCAGGGACTGACAATGGAAAGAGGAATGGAAGCACCTCGGGCTCTGCACAGGACAACAACGTCGGCAGAATACAGGCGAGGCAAGGCAGAGTTTTTGCATTGGTACCCGGAGACGCCCAGAATGCTGAGACGGTAGTGTCAGGTACCCTTCCAATTTGTTCTCAAGATGCATACGTATTGATTGATTCGGGTTCTACGCATTCATTTGTGTCCAATATATTCGCCGAGAAGTTGAGTAGAGAATTAGAACCCCTTGATTATGTATTATCTGTGTCTACTCCATCTGGGAGAAATATGATTGTTACATCCATTTATAGGGCGTGTAATGTTATGATTGAGAGTGTAGAATTGTTAGTTGATTTGATGCCATTAAGCATGACTCACTTCGATGTTATATTGGGAATGGATTGGTTAGTGGCGAATCATGCATCCATTAATTGTGTTACTAAGAGCGTCACGTTGAAGACCCCAAGCCAGGCC